CATGTCCCCTAATCCCCCCCCCCCCCCAAAAAAAAATTTTAATATACAGCCACAGAATTGACTTGCCACAGCTCTCATAAATAGCAGCTAAATCTCATTGCTGCATTTTGTATCTCTTATTGCTCCTTTATCTTCTTCATTACTTCTCCCTATAGAAAGTAATACCTCCAACTTTTATAAGCTGCACCCATTTGAAATTTTCATAGCAAGAACCAAAATCTCCTTCAACATTTGCATTTACTCTAGCTCTTGAAATTCTCTTCTATTAACCCATAATTCTTTTTCAAAGCCATACTTTGTGAGATAAAATTTTGAGGATTTGAGCTATGAAGAATGGGAGAGGTTTCAGAATTGGACGGAGCCTTGTGAGAGTTTTCAGCTGCTTTCTTCACAGGAGAACTAAGGTAAGAGCCGGACATAAGCGGTTGAGATCAGAGGGATGTGCGAGCAGAGCCATTTCAAAGCTATGCAAATTGGGACGCTTGCTGAAGCATGGAGCAAAAGGTCTCTGCTTTGCAAGACCCAATTCGGGTTACATCCGGGTCGGGCAAGAACCGGTAGAGCCGAAGCAGGTGACCATACCAAAGGGACATTTAGCTGTGTACGTGGGTGAGAAGAAAGATGATACTTGTAGAATTGTAGTGCCTGTGATATACTTTAATCACCCTTTGTTTGCTGATTTATTGAGGGAAGCAGAAATGATTTATGGGTACAATCATTCGGGTGGGATCCAAATTCCATGTCGGATATCTGAATTTGAGAACGTTAAATCAAGAATCGCCGCCACGGGCGGTGGTGGAAACTGCCGTGTATAACGGAGCTGGAGGTGCACATACTGATTTAGACTAGGGAACAACCCCCCTACCTTTGCCTATTTTCCTCCGAAGAAAAAGGGCACGATGCGTTGGGGAGGTTTAGTTTATGATAGTTCTTTGTTATGCTTGAGGGGAAAAGAAAAGTATGTCTTTTTTAAGAAAAGTTTGTGGTGATGTCAAATATTCCAGGTGTGAACGATTTTAATTATTTGTACAAATTCTTGTAAACCTTCGAGCTCAATTCTCAAAAGGATTTTAGTTCTCAGATACACATATTCATAAACTGGTACAGCTTTTCGTACCAATAAGTAGGGATATTCATAAAAATTCGAAAAATCGAACCAAACCAAATCAATAAAAAAAATCGATATTTTTTGGTTTGGTTTGGTTTTGGTTTTGAATTTTAAAAATCGATCAAATTTGGTTTGGTTTTGGTTTTAATAAATAAAAATCCGAACCAAACCGACTATAGGACTAGCTATTTCAAGTTTTATTATTACACCTATATATATA